AGCATAGAGGAAGTTTAGGCATTTCATGGATTTGCGAAAATAGAATGTGAAAATACATCAGGCATCAAATGCTATTTATAGTTCTCTGTTAGAAGTCAGAGGCTGCAGTATCTGTATTCTATGTGTCCTCTGTCTTAAAATGTTATTATATATAACATCCTTTTTCGTTTAATTAGAAAACCCATTTCCAAATATTCTTAGCATAAATTTTCTAATTTATATATTAAAACTAATAGAAGTAGTAAATGTTCTAGCATTTCTAATACTGCTATTGTTGAAGAAATTAAATATTCAAATAGTATATATTTTACGAGCAATATATACAAGTAGATTTTCTTTAAATTGTATCAATCTTGCATCATGTAGTTTGTTAGAATTTTGATGTTGCACAGCTACATAACATAAGCATGAATAAGACTTTATCTTTTATCAGCACTTGAACATATCCTCCATGACTGTCCTTTTCTCAGAAAACTAAACTGTATCTTTTAATTAATACAATACTATTTTATATTTTATGTCATTTGTTCAAATGATTATGCCTCATCGTTAAAAATAATTATATTTTAATTATAGGCCTGTATCAATGATGATTTGGACATGGTCGAGTTTTTAGTAGAAAAGGGAGCTGATATCAACCGTGGTGATAATGAAGGATGGACACCACTGCATGCAACTGCGTCTTGTGGTCTTATATCTATTGCTAAGTTAGTATTTATTTTTAATTAGAATTGCAACAGAACTTTAAACTTTAGTGATGCTTTTAAACAAGTAAATACATTTTTTTAGATATTTAATAGAAAAAGGATGTGATTTGGCTGCAGTTAACAATGATGGAGAACTAGCTCTTGACATTGCACAAAGCAATGAGATGGAGGAAATGTTACAGCAACATATAAATGAATCTGGTCTGTCTTTTGTATAAGAAGTATGCGACAATTAGTTTCTTTTTTAATGAAAACTATTATTCTATAGGCATAGACTGTGATCATGCTAGAAGTGAAGAAGAAAGATCAATGTTAAATGACGCTAAAGCATGGAGGTCAGGAGCAACGGGTAAAGACTCAGTACACCCTAAAACAGGAGCTACCGCATTACATGTTGCAGCTGCTAAAGGCTATACTAAAGTTATGAAGTATGATTATTTAATAGTTTTACCATATTAAATTGTAATGATATTTAAATGATTGCAATCAGCAAAATTTATACTCGTTATTTATTACATTCGAGATTCACATCTTTCAGCATTTTACTGCAGGCTAAATGCGATGTTAATGCTCAGGATTTTGATGGTTGGACACCCTTGCATGCTGCAGCACATTGGGGACAATTTGAAGCCTGCAAGCTTTTAGTGGAAAATTTCTGTAATATGGATATTAAGAACTATGCTGTAAGATTAACTTTCACTTATTCTTACAATTGTACCATGTATACTGTAACAGTTTCATTCATGGTTTTATATTGACAGGATCAAACTGCATTTGATATCGCAGATACAGATATATTATCAGCCTTAAGTTTTCTAAGAGACAAACAGAAACTTATGATGAAATGGTTTGTGAAAATAAATAATTGTAGTTTATGAAAAAGAAAATACAATTCACTGATTGTATTTACTATTATAGTGTAACAACGACCAATGAAAATACGTTAACAACAGAAGAATCTGTGGAAACCTTTGAAGAAGAAATGCCAAATGAAGTTAAAAATGTCGAATTAGAAATTCAATCTGATAAAGAAAACTCTAGTACTGGAACAAATAGTGATGTTGGTATGTTCATCATTCATACTAGTTATTACAGTGTTTGGCAGTTTGCATGTTCACATTTCAACATTTTAATGAATTATTTAATTACAATACTAAATGGTAATGAATTTCTGAGCTTACATGTGTGTACAGAATGTTCCAAAAGTATTACCAGACAGCAGGAACATACTATAAGAAGTTTGTAGTATTAACAATTTTATTTTTGGTGCAGCAATCTTGCGATTAATATTAAAGTAATACTGCTAGAACACTCTGTGTCAAAAACGAGCAAAAATATGTGCTATGATTTCTCAATCATTTGTTTGTATTATTACAAATGTATTAGAACATTAATCTTCTGTACTAAATAGTTGGCAAAGATTTAGGTTCTAAGATTAATAGTATTCTGTGTTCAAATTTATAAATGATTGGGAAATATTGAATTAGATGGGAACTTTCGTTCCTCATAAAGAATGTATTACACACGATTCAGTTTCGCAAGTCTATTTTACTTACCTTAACAGCAATTTGTATTTCTTGTAACAATGCTGCATGGACAGAAGCGACACGTGAAACATATATGGAGGAGAGTGATGGTGAAGGTGAATCTGAGACTAGCTCAGAATCACATTCTTCCACTTACTCCAATCAATCTGATAAGTCTAACGAATCAAACCACTCTTCATGTCTTACAGATGACGGTGAGTTTTGTCTGTAAGGCTGTTCTTATATTATTAAAGTTAAACTTCAGTTGCATGTATTATACGATACATATAACTTCTCTCTGCTATATTCTTTCTCGCTATAAGAGTGTTTTTTCTTGACACTGAAACAAGTTTCTTTACTACATAAATGGATAATCAATTATAGTTTCCTTTTTTTCCTAGAGAGTTCTACATTAAAACTAATGCTAAATTCATTATGTCCATTTTACGTTTACAGAAAAGAAAAATAGAGCGAACCGGGAAGAAACAACCCAGAATAATTCATCTATTACTGACTCGAATAAAGTTCCTAATCAGGTAATGTAACCTCTGTTGATACATATTTTAGCTATATTTAGGTTAGTCTGTAACAGACTCATATGCATACAAAAGTATGTTAAATATGTAAAAAATAATGTTATTATTTTTAGGCTCCAATAATGCCTCCAAAACAACAGACTGATAGCAATGAAGAAGGAGTGATACCATCGTGGCGGCGTTCACGCCCGATAAGATACATACAACCAGATGCAACAAATTCTTTATCCACAAGTAAGTTCTTTCCCAAAGATTTGATTGTGTTCCTACGATCATTTAGTAACATTTGAATTATTTTCTTGTCTGTGAATAGGACTCGAAGAGAAGGACAAAAACATCAAATCGCCGACTTTGTCAAACAAACTGAACACTGAACCTGACGTGGTATTAACTAGAACGCATAGTTTTGAATCAGACGAAAAGTAAGTTGAAATCGAACATCTGATCGTGTACATCGTTTTCGTAGTATTTCAAATTTTGCCGTTTTATTTAATACGACTTGCGGATTTCTTTAAATTTCTCGACAGTATTTTTTATCTTTGTTCATATATTACAGTCAATATATTAGTTTTACATCAAAAATAACTTCCGCATTGAAATAAGTTTAATATTCAAAGATTTTGCGTAGTACGTATATTGTCGAGCTTTTATACGTCTAGAAAAAAATTAGTGTAGTCGTATGCATGGCATGATGCATGTTATGCAGGTTCTATGAGCAGTACTTGGCATTACAAGCTCGCATCAAGGCGCTTTCCTGCCCTACTCTCCATTGCTGCAACGCAGCTACTCCTACTCACACCAATACTACGACTCGCTCTGCATCTCTACGCGAAACCCACAGGTGCGCACGTTTCATACGTGGTATATGTTAATGCTTTTATGTAGGTATCATTTTAATAGTAACTATACATAAGTGCTACAAGCGAATATATGATCACTCGAAATTTACCAAAGTGTTGTATCAAAGGTTCGCACATTCCACAAATAATTTCTCGATAATTTGTGGTCCAAATGATAGATGTAGATTGTACAGTCCATAATCTTTTAGAAAGCTTCTGAAATATTGAACGGGTGGCCCCAGAAGTTTAAAAAGAATACCATTAGACTCTCAAGTTTGGACCACAAATTTTCTGAATCTTATACACTTATTTTTTTAACGTGTGCGTGTGAATCGTTCATTTATACTTGTGATCATTAATTTACCAAGCCCCCTTCATTCCTTGCTTTTGCTTGGCTTAAATGAAACCAACAATTTTTGTATGTACATTGAAACATCAAATATTAATCTGACACAATTGATTTGTTTCCATAAGATCAAAATAAGTGGGATTAATTGATTGATTGATATAATAAGACTCGAGTTACTGAACTAAAGATCGTTTTTCTATTATTCACGTGATGTAACGCTCGTACTGTTTTAACTTTAGAAGAAAAGAAGCAAAATTAAACTTGGAACTATCAAGACTGCCACAGGGAAGCAATACACTTTCACCAACATCCACATCCAAAACAATAGTGTCGAGCACACTGCCAACTACTACAGCTACAGCTACTACAACTGCCACAACAACAACTACAACAACAAGTCCTATTCCAGCCAATCAAATGCGCAGGTAAATATTCGATAAAATGAAAAGGGAGCAAAGTAATATTTGTTCTTGACGAATTTAAATTTAAAAGAATAACGAAACGGGGCGTCATTTTATCTTTCATTGAAAACAGTGTAGATAATCTGAGTAACCAATTGACACGATTAGAAACAACATTAGTATTCTAAAAGTCTGATGTCTCCGAGAAATCGTAATTTAGCGTATGTTAGAGTGCCTTTAAAATTGAAGTTCATGCATTCATATTTGCATCGTGCGATGTTGTTAATGTGGCTGGGTAGCGTTCAACCAGTGGAAGCTACAACCACAGTTCTATCGAGTGCAAACAATTCAGTAGCAGTTCCGGGAACTCCTACTACACCAGGAGGAAGCAAGCTAAGTCCTGGAAATATCTTCAAGAATTTCTTCAAGTGGGTACCCTATGTTTGACCTGGGAAGATTCTCTTGAGACGTGTGACTGCATATTCTACAATATTTCTACACACAATATTAAGTTATTGGCAGTGGCATGGAACAGTTGCTTTGTAGTGTGATTATTTCTTTTAGTTGCATACATTATATACAATCCTCCGAGTACTACTTGTCCCAATAACCACTGCCTTATCTTCACTAGTACAAAATCATGTTTCTAATTTGGAAACTTTGCCACTGAAATGTAATATGTCGAGTTCAGTTGATAGTACAGCTTCAGGTTTGATACTGAAAGACTGTTCGAAAATTTATCCCAGCAAACAGGTCACGTTTATAATTCCAAATGGACGGAATCGTGAATAACAGAAATAGACAAACATTAACGAATTGCTCTTCAATGTTGCAAAAACATGAAACGTCAGCATGTTTGAAACATCTTAAAATTATACCTCTATCCACACATGTATGTACCATTACTTATTAGTTTGATCGCCTTTGTTGTTTTTAAATGTCACACTATAGTAATGCAGCATTAATATACGATTCCAAGCGACAGCAACACAGCAGAATCATTTCTATTGTCGTACATAAAAGGCATCATTGTTTTATGTGATATCTGTAAACACTGCTTATGGATTTTGTTTATAATAATGTTTAATGCTTTTTGGAATTTTATTATATTTTATAAGAGACTGTTGTATACGTTCTACAAATGTTATTGTACTTCACTGTTTCTAACGATACGTGCATATAATGTCTGTTCAGGTCGTTTGTCCCTCCTGTTCGTGATGAAGAAAGCGAAACGCAAAGAAAAGCGCACGCGAAGAGAGTAAGAGAAACTCGACGCTCGACTCAAGGTGTAACTTTAGATGAAATCAAAAGTGCAGAGCAGTTAGTGAAGAAAAAGCAACAAAATAACGAAATTCCTTCGACGATAACTTCAACGCAGGTAAAACATCACTACACGCTATAATAAAAGTTGCTTAAAAGCGTCTTAAGCATTTATTTTAATTTAGAACGTAACTCAGGCACACACAAGCGATGTTTACTTTCATTTATTGTGACAGCAACAATCATAAAATACTAAATTTCCCATTAACAGTAACAAACGCTTAAAAAATATTTATTCATTTTTTTTTTAACTGACCCAGCCTACAACCACTACCAGCAATACAGCCTCAATTACAGCTACAATAACAACTGCAACCCCAACTACGGTGACTGCAAATAAACCTTCTGAAGAAGTTAACTTGCCTGAGAGGAGGCCTTCTTGGAGGTTGAAGGTAGATAATGGAAGCAAGGTTTGTGATTCTTAATATATTTAGATAAACAAGTCAAGATTTTGTTCAAGAATAAATTCTAGCTGATTTCCAATTTTTTTCTTATTTAACTTCTTTCCCCTAAAGAGAAATTCTTTCTATGATTACATTGAAGTTTTGTGCATTTGAAACTTTAGTGCAAAGTAAAATGTGATATGTATCAAATCTAAGAAAAAATCTGATTGTTCAGTTTCAGTTAGAAGATGCTACTAACAGGACTTCCACGCTACCTAATGCAGATACTACAACGGCGTATATGAGAAGACCTTCAGCAGGCTCGAGTGTACCCAGACCGTCATCAGCTCCGATCGAAACTATTGCAACAAGCAGCGCAGAGACGACTGTAACATTACCACTTAGACGATCGTTAAAACAGCCTGAAGATAAGGGTATACATACGAATAATATTAAGGTCGTTTCACTGGCTGAAATTCATAAATCAAATTTATTCGTTTGTCCCTGCCGATTTGTTTCAGACCAAGATAAAGAGAACGATAGCAGAAATGCGCAAGCTACACAAGCTGTTATACAAAGGAGACGAAGACCTAAAAGACGGTCTACGGGTGTTGTTCATGTTGATATGGACGTTAGTAGCATTCATTACTTAAATCGAATAAAATAATTATATTCGTTTTAACCAGCGACGAATATCTCATTTCGTTATTTTCATCTCTTCTTCAATCACACGTTTTCGTTTCTGTTTAACATTTGAATGTTTAAAGTAGCGCTATAACTCATTTGAAACTACTAATTTATAATAAGTGTGAATTATCAATTTATAGGAAATTGATCCTGAAAAACAAGACTTAACCGCTGGTGGCGATTGTGATGAATCCAAAGTCAATCATAATGAGGTAAGTTATCTAATTTTATTCATTATTTTTGCTGGCTATGCATAATATCTGAAATGTCTATTTTACTCAATTTGCATAAAACAAGAAAATGAAGCATGCAAAGTAAGTAATTATAAATTGAAAGTTAGTTTTCGAAATGCAATTTAAAATTTTTTAATAACGACCTGTTATATGTTAAATGTTTCCAATTACTTTTATTAAAGTCATTTTTATTCCAAATAATTCTAGTACGTATTTGTAATAACATATAACTATTATAATATGAACGCAATTTAGTGAACCGCAGAAGCTTTGTGTTATTTTTGGGATAGTCTCTGGGAAGATTAACCTCTATTCGTGCATGCTTTGTTAAAAATAGTATTCCATTTCTTATCCTCCTATATACCATTGGATCATGTATTAAAATCAAATGTATAGATGAACATTTTGTGTCTCATGCCATAATATTTAAATTCTTTATATTTTTACATTATACTTGAATTGAACACTTTATGATTTCATTATTATTTTTATTCTATTGCAACATATTTCATGTATGTAATTTATGTAATATAAATATTATGATCTTCAAAAATAATTGAAAATTTATTGAATTATTATACTAAGAAAAACATCGTTATTCAAGAGTTACAGATATTATAATTAAATAATATAATAATTGTAGATAATAAATAAATAATGTAGATAATATCGATATTGAATTTTAAGTTAAATAGGTATTTAAAGAACAGTTTAAAGAAATGAAACAAGAGTCAAAAACGAAAAAAAAATTGATCATGAACGTGGCCTGGCAGTGGCTAAAAATATTCCATCGACATTTGGAACGATGTGACTCTTTGACATTTAAAGTAGCTCGAAATTTATTTATTGTTTGCATTATAGCGTTCAGGTCGGTTAAATATAAGCCGAAAAAACAACAAATGTGAATAAATAATTAAAGTATCTGTTATATAATATAGAAGCTTGAATAGATTTCATAAATTTAGTAATACGAAATAATTGCGATTAAGTTGATAAATAAATTTTACGATCTTTTTCTATTAACAAACACGAATATGTGTTTCATTTAAAAATATCTAAATTACATTGTTTAGATAACAAATACATTTTTGGCGTAATTTGATATATTAATTATAATTACACAGTAAATTGACACATTTCATAATATTAAGTAAACACATAATATCTCTTAAAAGTGAAACATCACATATATTTATTTTAAACCACACAACTTTGATATTAGTGCAAGTTTGTGTATGTGACCTATAAATAGCATACCAAACCAATGCTTTGGAGTAAACTGGCTGATGTCTTAAGTTCCTCCACCCAATGTACGTCAGTCAAGTACTGACTGTCATTAGAACTAGATCGTTTAAATCCGTGTATATCGCGACGAAGTGAGCCAATTGTAAAATTACAACGTTGTTGTGGTTTTCTGTTCTCATTTTATAAATGATATGTAATGATACAGCAGCAACTTCAAGAAAACGTGTGTTCAAGCCAATAAAAACTCGTGACGTAATTTTATCCAGTAAATAATGTCATCCTATAGAAAGAGATCTCAAGGAAAGCCAACAACAGCTGCAGGATTAAGAGCTCAAGCATCAGCAAATGGAAGTTCAATTTTTGGGAATAGGTCGCGAAGTATAAGTGGGTTGTTTCCTTTGAATCAAAATAGCTATTCAGGCCTGCTTGGCATTAATGGCACAAGCCCTGTTGGCCTACCAAATTTTTTAAACAAAACAACAAAATCCAGTGATTCATTCAGAAAGTCTCCTTATTCGAATTCTACTAGTAATTTAAATTATCAGAATCCATATACAACGTATGGCGGAACTACATCAGGATATGGAAGCATAACTTTGCCCACAAATATTGCATCTTTACGATTAGCACCTTCCACAAGTTACAGTTATTTAAATCTAAATCCAAATAATCACGCACACGTACAAAGAACCGAAAGCTTTAACAAAACAAAAGCAAAACCAAATATTCAGATTGGATCTAGAAGCTCTAGTCTGCAGAGTTTAGCCAGTTCTGAGGGATACATTGTAAGATTTATGTTACTTTTAGTCGAACACAAAATGATCAGTCTTTTAATTGATGTAACATTGTGAAAAAAATCGTACAACAGTCTATTTGGATTCATTTTAAAGGATGAAGCCTGTACATTCGCAAGGCTTCTTTACATTAACAAATGGGGTGCAAAATTAAAAATTGTTATACGATTTTTTGCAACAGACTTGTATCTCGTGTACGGCGTATACTTAGTGTATAGTATCTATCTACAAGTGTATGATTTATTTACATACATTTTTATTTTGTAGAGTGGAAATGATCGTTCTGGAAGATCTAACAGACTGGGATCTATTTCATCATTATCATCGGAAACACCTTCCATATCAGCTAGAATAAAATCTACAACATCTGAGAACGGTGAATTGGATTATAAGAAGCTGTATGAAGAATCTCAAGTGGAAAATGAAAGGCTGAAAGAAAAACTGAGGCGATCAGACGAACAATTAAAAGAAGCCAGAAATTTGTTGGACAAAGCGCAGAATGTTCAAAACAAAACGGTTTTGTCCGAGGCAGAGAAACGAGAAAGGAGAGCAATGGAAAGGAAATTGTCGGAAATGGAAGAGGAGTTAAAGGTAAGGATCAAAATATTTTCCATTTTTATATTTTCATTGTAACTTTTATTCATTACACTGAACGTGAAGTTTGGAAATATATTTTAAAAAAGGAAACCAAGTAATTCATGAAACCGTAGTGTAACAAGACTTTTTTAAAATATCGTGATATGTAATATTTATGTATGTTATCATACTTAATGAGACTTTGTTTTAATTCTATACTCCTTAGTTAGAATGCACGTCACAGTTTTTCTTTTCTCTTATATTACGTTTTGATTGTTGCGGCTAAATACAGAGGGAAGGTCAACATTTCTGGAGTGGTTAATTCGAAAGAAAAGGAAATAAAAGAAGAAGAAATGAGAAAATACGCAGCTTTGATGCATTGCTTTCTTCTTTATTTGCCATTTCTTTGGTGCTTTTATTTTTTAGTATCTTTATTAAATAATCACGCTTATTGTTTATGCAGTATAATGGTTTTTAATTGGCACTTTTGTACTTCCTTTTGATTACTACTTTCGTGTGGTTTTCGTTATCTATATTTTGGTTGGGTCGGTATCAAAGACAATACTACATATATTACAGTCACCATTCGATAAATAAGCTGCGCCAGGAGCTGCTCTAGAAGCGGGCTTATCGAGAAGGCGGTTACTTATCGAGCATCTGCTGTATATCATTTAGCATAACAAGTGTTTCATAGGCATTTCTTCGATGTCTGGTGGGGGCTTTTTATGGGACAATGGATATGGGCTAATCGTTTCACTGTTTACAGCAATTACAAAAGCTCAAAGCTGAAAATGAGAGATTGAAAGCCGAAAATCGGGCACTTACCCGCGTCGTATCCAAACTCACCAATACTACTAAATAGGTAAAGGACATAATGACAGCATCTGCGTTAACAGTGTACATCGTACTCTACGTACAATATTAATTCATTAATTAATTGATTACTTACGACTTTTTTACGTTCTGATCACGCAATATTAAAACTTTGAAACGATGTCGCTCACTGACTTAATCTTACAAATACAGCTTCGCAAACTGTACGCGAATCTAATTACGAACATCATAAAAAAATAATAAAAGAAGAAGCGAATAGTTTCGTCTCGAAGAACTTGTAACAGCTTATCGTGCAACGATTTGAGAGCTTGCACAAATTACTGTCTCCTAATAGAAACTGTGCTATGATTCGTTACAATTACACTTATCTAGCATTACTAATTATACTTACAATGGTTATTGTACATTTCATGTGTTCTAATTTTTTAGAGAGAATACTTTCTAATGAAATTTATTAAAAAAAAAACAGTTTGCTTTTAGGAATAAAAGTTACGACCTGGTCAAGAACTTTTTCAGTGAAATTGCGTTTAATTTGTGTAAATTTCTTTTGTAAGCTACCCATAATAGTAACTTGAATATCTTTTCCCCATTCTGATACAAAAAAATGCAGTCTGTCCTATACTAATACAATTTATTTGTGAACATATTTCTCAACATGAATTGAATTTAATATTGAACTTTATTAAAAACACTGTTTTTATTACACTACGGAAACATAGTTTGTTCCAGAAATAATTTCAATTTTGAAAAATAATTTATAATTATGTGTTGAACATTTACCTAAACAGTTTAGATATAATGATTAGAAGAATGAGCTTTATTGTGACAGAAGAAATATTCAAATTAGCATAGATTTTTCAGTCTCCTAAGAAAGCATGTTTAATGTAAAATTACTTTGTTACCGCACTATGCATTCTTTAACAATCGTTTCTTACTGCTCATATTATGCAATTCACACATTATGTCTCATTTAACCAGCGACACGATTTGCGAACAATTATAATGTTTGATAACGATATATTTCTGTATGTTACAATTTATACAGTTATACATTCTTTGTATTTTGAACAAATTTATTAAATAACTATTGCACAAAACTATAACTTGAAGTTATCTAAGGCAGTAAAATGAAAACATATAAAACAGTTGGATTTCAAGTACTGAGGTGGTATAGTACATTAGAAATAATTGAAACATTTCAATAATATGTTCATAATAATATTCGAACATTTTATTTATTTTTTTCTATGCTATGAAATTGTATTTTCGGATATGATAGAAAATACACACTGTTGGATATGTAAGTGGATTTATAGTTCTAAATAAGCTATTAAAAAGTTAGAAAGACAAGCTTATGTTTTAAATTGAGCTATATTTCTATTTTTGCGTAGTATTAAAATTACACCTGCCTGTTACACTTAACAACATACGTTGCTCCTTTGGTTTTAATGCACCCGATTGTTACATTGCTAATCTAATTTTTTACAGCTCTAGTTGCAACAATACTCGCTTATTTTCCTTTTCCATGTTTAATTTCTTTTTATGTTGTTTTTTCATTCTTTTATTTTTGTGAGTATCCACTTGACTCGTTCTATGACGGCATTGTCCTTGTAAATCTTTTTTATAAAATATATCTTTAAAGGATAACATAAATAAAATGGTTTCTACATTTTTTTCTAGGTAATGGACCAATTAAAATGCGAAAACCAGAGGCTAAAAGATGAAAACGGTGCCTTGATCAGAGTAATCAGCAAGTTATCCAAATAACTCCGGTGGTCTTAAAATTTAAAAAAAAGAGAAAAGGCTGCATAGCGTTTCTTCTATTGCATTACAATTGCATTGAATGAATTGTTTTAGACAATAAATTATCACGATCACAATTGCTAGTATTCTTGCAATGTATATTTACGTCATCACATTATTGATGAATTTATTCTTAATGCTAGTAATTTAATTTATTATCAAGCAAATTATCTCGCATGGCTGTGCCAAGTGCGAAAAGAGACATTGCTCCTATTCTTAGGATTGTGAATAGCTGACCGTGAAGGATCTAGAGTTTTTACTTTTTCTCATACATTTTAAATCTTCCTCTCGAAGATAAATATGGTTCATTTTAGAGCCGACGCTTTATAAAGCAAAATGTACTTCATTTGAATCAATGAAAGGCAAATATGTTCATGACTATTATTTTTTTTTTTAAGAAATCACGTTATCAATGTTAACTCTTTATAAGGACATTTTGTAAATATGTAATAGATAAAATGATAATGTGGCATTTTAGAGATTAATAAGAAAAAATTTTTTACTTAATGAAAAAACACATCAGAAGTATATATACATATATATATTTATGTATATATACATACATATATATATATGTATATATATGTATGAACATATATATATATATATGTATATATATGTATGAACATATATATATGTATATATATATGTGTGTATATTAAATTTATTGTATAAACTTGTTTCCATAATTGTAATGCAAAACGAAAGCATTCGTAACATGTTGCGAAGTTACAGTAGAACAATAAAAAGGAGTGAATATTAAGAGGATGACTTTGATGCTATTCAAGTGGCCTTTTCCAGGAAGACTGCAACTTATAATCCTTCCATCATCGCCAATTTTACAATGAACTGAAAATTCTTGTATTAAAC